CAGACTCCCAACATGACTACTTTCTTAAAAATCGAAGAGAGGGTAAAGGAACAGTACCATTGCTGGATAATTGGAAAGTCCCTGTGTGTCAACCTCTGTGCTTCGTGGCAAGGTAGACTAGCAAACATGCCCAACCTTTACTCACATTCGAGAAAACACTCCCAACAAGATTGCTTGCTCCAAAATCGAAGAGGCACCGCCCTCCGAATCTCGAGAGCCAGACTCCCAACATGATTACTTTCTCAAAAATCGAAGAGACACTGCTCCCCGAATCTCGAGAGCCAGACCCCCAGCATGATTGCTTTCTCAAAAATCGATGAGGCATCGTTCTCCGAATCAATCGAAGAGGCGCTCGCTTTCTCAAAAGCTGGGCTGCTCAGAGACCACGAGGGCCGATCTCAGAAATCGAAGAGGCACCTACTTTTCTAGCCTTGTCAGCACCTGTCACACGCACACTCAGCTTTGCAGAAATTATGGGCATTCTGTCGAAGACTTCTGGTGAAGTAGAAAGCACATGAATCTTACTGTTCAATCACCCACTTCCCACACGCAACAATAGCTCATGGGTACCACAGATAACTTTGCCAAAGTTCTCTGCCAAAGTTGAGCACGTGAAGCTTGCAGCTCCCACTACATCGCTCTGACCAAGAAAGGTAAAAGAATAGCAAAGAAACAGCACTAACAAAGTTTAGACACATAAATTTTGAAGGTCTAGCTACCATATTATTACCCACAAGGGTAAAGGAACAGTACCACTGCTGGATAATTGGAAAGTCCCTGTGTGTCAACCTCTGTGCTTCGTGGCAAGGTAGACTAGCAAACATGCCCAACCTTTACTCACATTCGAGAAAACACTCCCAACAAGATTGCTTGCTCCAAAATCGAAGAGGCACCGTCCTCCGAATCTCGAGAGCCAAGACTCCCAACATGACTACTTTCTCAAAATCGAAGAGAGGGTAAAGGAACAGTACCATTGCTGGATAATTGGAAAGTCCCTGTGTGTCAACCTTTGTGCTTCGTGGCAAGGTAGACTAGCAAACATGCCCAACCTTTACTCACATTCGAGACAACACTCCCAACAAGATTGCTTGCTCCAAAATCGAAGAGGCACCGCCCTCCGAATCTCGAGAGCCAGACTCCCAACATGATTACTTCCTCAAAAATCGAAGAGACACTGCTCTCCGAATCTCGAGAGCCAGACCCCCAGCATGATTGCTTTCTCAAAAATCGAAGAGGCATCGTTCTCCGAATCTCGAGAGCCAGATACCACAGACCACTTTTTCAAAGTGCTCTGACAGAGTTAAAAACATGTGAAACTGGCAGCTCCCACTACCGTGCTATGACCAAGCAGGGTAAAGGAATAGCATTACTACTTGTTGTTAGGGAGACTCCTATATATGTCGACCTCCATCCCCAACGGACAGGCAGACCTGCAAAAAATGCTCAACCCTTCATCATATCTGAGAGGGCACTCCCAACGAAGCCTTTCGAAATATTCAGCTTTCTTTCCCCCCGATAATACCTCTGCAAACAAGCTATACTACTAGAGCAAGAATATCTCATATCATCAGGGTTAAAAGCAAGAGTATCCCATATCATGCTTTTTCCCTGTCTTTTCCTTTGGCCTTGTTTTTACCTGCAAGACAAGGAGAAAGAGAGCAATCAGTCAGCACTTGGAATCAAGCTTCCAGCCAGGAACTGACTGCCTGGAACCCCTTACCTGATTACTTACCTGGCATTGCTCTCGAGTACTCATCTTCAACATCTTATGTTTCCAGGGAAGATTCCGCATCTGCTTGAGGAACAGATAGGGCAAGTGCGAAGGATACAAGGAAGCATGTGGAGACAAGCGTAACAGCACACGTGCCGATACATCCATTACTCTGTCAAAAGCAAAAGTATCCCATATCAGCAGGGTGGAACGTACTCTAGATTTGATGGACTTGTTTTGACCCTCAAATTCTTCAGTCGGCCTTATACTCTGGAGGAAACCAGAAAACCCTCCAGCTCAGTTCAAGAATAAGCCTGTGGAAAGTTACTTCTTCAAAAGCAAAAGTATCTCATATCATCTCTTCTCATTTTTCTTCTCTTTATCCTTCATGCTGCTGCAAGATGGGGAGAAGGTGAACAATCAGTCGGAGCTCTGATTGCTTACCTTGTCTGTCACCTCTTTCAGCAGACCCCCTAGCTCGGCGACTTGGGGGACTCCTACTACATGGTTTGTATCGCGCTTGACCAAGCCTGAAACTACAAGTAAGCTTCAAGTGAAATTGATACATTACCTTGTGCATCTCCACCAGTTAAAGATACCACCCCTGGATGGAGGAAGAGTACTTCCAGAGAAGATGCCACACATCTACCTATGAGACAGATAAGGCAAGTCAAGACGACACCACACTCCGATACTTAGAAGTTTCGTGATTACGAGATCATTCTCCCACAATATTTCCTAATGTCATTTGTACTAAATCATTCACTTGTACTCACTAAAGGAGAGCTTGAACCTATGTACTTGTGTAAACCCTTCACAATTAATGAGAACTCTTCTATTCCGTGGACGTAGCCAATCTGGGTGAACCACGTACATCTTGTGTTTGCTTTCCTATCTCTATCCATTTATATACTTATCCACACTAATGACCGGAGCAATCTAGCGAAGATCACAAAAAGCGACCGTTTTCGCTACCTAGGATCTATCTTGCAAGAGAACGGAGAATTAGATGGAGATCTCAACCATAGAATACGAGCTGGATGGATGAAGTGTAAGAGTGCATCCGGCGTGTTGTGTGACCGTCGTAGGCCACTGAAGCTCAAGGGAAAATTTTATAGGACGGCAATAAGGCCAGCGATGTTGTATGGCACAGAATGTTGGGCGGTGAAGCATCAACACGTACACAAAATGGGTGTAGCGGAGATGAGGATGCTTCGTGGGATGTGTGGGCACACGAGAAATGATAAGATTGGGAATGAGGATATCCGAGGTAAAGTAGGAGTAGCCGAAATTGTAGGAAAGATGAGAGAAAATCGGCTCCGATGATTTGGACATGTGCAAAGAAGGCCGACTGACGCTCCGGTTCGAAGATGTGACTACGGGACAGAGGTTCAGGGCCAAAGGGGTAGAGGAAGACCTAGGAAAACTTTGGAAGAGACTCTAAGAAAAGACTTAGAGTACTTGGATCTAACGGAGGACATGACACAAAACCGAGCGCAATGGCGTTCTAGGATTCATATAGCCGACCCCACTTAGTGGGAAAAGGCTTTGTTGTTGTTGTTGTTGTTGTTGTAGAGAACTTGCTCTTGACTGCAGACCACAAAACAGTTAAATTAGCGGATTTTGGGTTGGCAAGAGAGGAGTCATTAACAGAGATGATGACTGCAGAAACCGGGACATACCGTTGGATGGCTCCAGAGGTACTACTGCCCTACTTCCCCCTCTTTCTCATGAACCATCACACTCACTAATACCTGCTTATTCGAGTCGATATTTCTTATGTTTGGGCAGCTGTACAGTACTGTTACATTAAGGCAGGGAGAGGGAAAGCATTACAACCACAAAGTGGATGCGTATAGCTTCGCGATTGTTTTGTGGGAACTCTTGCACAACAAATTGCCTTTCGAAGGCATGTCAAATCTCCAAGCAGCCTATGCAGCTGCCTTTAAAGTAAACATATCTTCCTCGTCGATATATTTTCCAGTGTCAATCATTAATTACGTTAGTTTTTTCTCCAATGTGCTTGCGGTGCTGCTAAATTTTCCAGATGATTTATTCGATACTTTTCGTTTCAGAATGTGAGGCCTAGTTCTGAAAACATCCCAGAGGAGTTGAACATCATCCTAACTTCATGCTGGCAGGAGGACCCAAACGCCCGGCCTAATTTCAGCCAAATAATTCAAATGCTACTAGATTTTCTTTACACCATATCTCCTCCTAAACCTGCCATTCCGCCACGGATATTCACTGAGAACAGAGTCCTGCCGCCAGAGTCTCCTGGTACGAGCGCCTTGATGTCAGCGCGTGAAGGCTCGGGGGAGACGCCCAAATTAGGAGAAATGGAAGACAAGCCAAAAGGTTTTTTCTTCTGCTTTAACCAGTGTTATTGAGTAGTTGAAGAGAATGTCCATAACCTCCGTCCTTCGGGTCGTAAACACTAGAATCTGGTTCGATTAAGTACATTTCGTTAACATGGTACATGTTTAAGCTGATCAGTGTCGAATTTCATCAAGTTCAATTGTCAGATGAACACACCAATCTGTATCTGTCCAATATTCTGCTGGATTATGTCAATGTGTAGGATCTTAACCCCGATTTGATAATCTTGATCATCTAGCAGCTAATACTTTCGAGTACGGTTTCTTTGTGATGCTTGCTGGATAAGAAATCCAACTTAAATTCTTCATCGAAAGCGGCTTCCATTTGCTCGGAAATTCTAAGCCGTTAACTTCACGAAAACGATTCAAACCTTGGATTAATGCCAACAGCATGTGTAAAAGCAACTGTTATGTTTCCGTAGATTCATCTGCGTGAGTTATTACTCACTGTTTTCGTGTAAAATTGCAACTGTTGAGAGCATTCACATAAAGGAAAATTTAACCAGAACGAATTTCCGTCAGCCCGAACATCTCGCCAGTCACGCCGTTGAAGCGCCGGCAGAATCAAGTCAGATCAATATTGAACACCCCCCTTTGAAATGATGGAAGCGATTCCTATCCCTGACAATAATTTCTCTGTTAAATACCTTCGATATCATCTTCGTTGCGTTGTGACAGTCCGTACAAACTCTTAAGATTTTTTTATGTTCAAAGTGCAGTTCTGGGAGCTGTTATGATCGAACCAAACGCCATGGCCAGCTTCTCGCTGTGGTGGGATACCGAAGCTTCCTTATCGTCGTCCTCTGCATCTAGTCTTCCATCTGCTGTGTTTGGCACGTAACCAGCTTCTTTAATCCATTTCGTCATGTCGTGAGTTGCATTGTAAACCTCCTCCGAGTGTGGAGTGTGGACATGCATTGTCTTCAGCGAAGAACCTCAGTCCTGCCTACCGATGCATAAATGTTTGAGAGCAGAATGTAATCCCTGCTATGAGGGGTCTCGAATCTCGTTATGCGTTTCAACGATTCCTCACCAATTTCGACATTCTTCTGTGTTCTGCATGAAGCCATCAATGTCCTCCAAACCACAACATTTGGTTGGATAGGCATATTCTTGATGAACTGATATGCCTCTTCAATCAAACCAGCTCGACCCAAGATATCAACCATAGAACCATAGTGCTCTATCCTCGGTTCAATTCCGAAATCTCTACTCATGCGGGTAAAAAGATTTCGACCCTCATCAACCAGACCTGCGTGGCCACAGGCAGAAGGAACGGCAATGAAAGTCACATAATTTGGCTTGATATTCTTCTCCTGCATCAATTGGAAGTATTCAAGCGCTCTCATGCCCTGTCCATTACTAGCAAGACCTTGAATTAGCACTGTCCAAGAGATAAGGTTTACCAAAGGCATCCTGTTAAATACTTCAATTGAACTATCAACGCACCCACATTTTGCATAGAAATCTATTAGTGTAGTTCCAAGGGTAACTGTGAGCTTCATTTTCTTCTTCATTATATAAAACTCAACCCATTTTCCAGTTTCCAAAGCTCCGAGGACAGCACAGGACGAAAGCACACTGACCAAGGTCACCTCATTGGGATCCACATTTGCCTTCTGCATGTCATGAAACAGACCAAGCGCCTCCCTGCACCTATCTGCTTGGCTATAACCTGAAATCATGGCACTCCACGCAACATTATATCTTCGATCCATTCGATCAAATAATTGTCTTGCAGTATCTACCTGACCACATTTTGCATACATATCAACCAGAGAAGTGACTAATACAATGTTACCCTTCAGCCCATTTGCTTCTATATACTCACCAATCCACTCTCCCAGCTCCAAATTGGCCAGTCTCCCACATGCTGTCAAAACACTAATCAAAGTAACCTCATCAAACCCAAAACCCAATTTTAACATTTCAACGAATAGCGTCATGACATCTCCCCAACATTCGATCTTCAAGTAGCCTGCCACCATCGAATTCCACGCCATTCGAGCCCTTTCGGGCAATCCATCAAACACCCGGCGGGCAACATCGAGCTCCCCACAACTTGCTTACATACGTATCATAGTGTTCTCAATGAACCCATTTGTCTTAAACCCACATTTCACAATGTGGGAATGGATCTGTTCTCCTTCCCTCAATGCTCTTAGTCTTGAACAAGCTTTCAGTGACGTGAACTCATCAGGTTCAACAGAGTTTTCGCGCATGTTCTTGAACAAAAGAATGGCCTCCAGAGGAGAATGCTGGTATATGAGGCTCCTTATCATGATGTTGTAGGCCAACGAATCGGGTTCGTCGACATTGTGAAAAATGGAGAGAGCATAGTCCATGGCCTTGGGGAGAAGAATGGAGGCGGATTCCAGGATGTTTTCGGTGATGGCGGGGTTGAGGAGGAGGCGGGTTTTGATGAGGTGGGCATGCACCTGGTTGAGGTCTCCGGTGGTTCTGCATTGCTGAAGAATTAGGGTTTTGGGATTGTGTGGAAACTGGGGGATGGTAGTTACGACAGTTGTGGGTTTGGCGGGAGAGATGGGAAGGGTTGCTAGTGCCATTTTGTTCACTTTTGGGTTCTTTTTTAATGTCTTAAGCACACCGTCTTAAAAATTCTTGCCTAACGCTGCCTAGGCGCTAGCCGGTTAGCCACTGCTTCGATTAGTCTATAGGTGTTTGAAAATTAAGAAAGTACGCCTAAACCTGCTTAGGTGTTCGCTTAGCCCACTTAAGTGCCCGCCTAGCCGACTTAAACCTACCTAGCCACCCGACTAGTTCGTGACTCTCATTTAGACAGAAAATTGATAGCGTTCATTTTGCAATATGTTCTAATACTTTATAATTTGTATGCAATTTCTGTAGAATTCTAAGTACACACAGTTTCTGAATATGCTTCAATTGTATTGAATAATCATAAGATTACACTGGTGCTGTAGTATATATAGGCAATGTGCCAATTACATTTATACCCTTGACTACTATATCAATTTACACACCCGACTAGTTCGTGACTCTCACTTAGACAGAAAATTGATAGCGTTCATTTTGCAATATGTTCTAATACTTTATAATTTGTATGCAATTTCTGTAGAATTCTAAGTACACACAGTTTCTGAATATGCTTCAATTGTATTGAATAATCATAAGATTACACTGGTGCTGTAGTATATATAGGCAATGTGCCAATTACATTTATACCCTTGACTACTATATCAATTTACACAAGCATTATAACAAACATTATAACAAACATTATAACAAACATCTAACTAACTTTACTTGACTCTTTACACCCCCTCAAGTTGAACTTGGATGCATCCATAGGTCCAAGAGAAAGTTTGGATTGCAAGTATAAGAACCTGGATTTAGACAAAGATTTAGTATGAATATCAGCTAGTTGGTCCTGAGTGCACACATATTAGACCTTGAGAAGATTAGCTAACACCAACTCTCAGATATAATGGTAATCAAGTTCAACATGCTTGGTTTAAGCATGAAAAACTGGATTAGAAGCAAGTGAAATTGCAGAAATATTGTCACACCAGAGATGAGGAACATGAGGAAGATGGAGACCAATATCCTTGAACACTTTACAGATCCATGTTAATTCAGCTGCTGTGTGAGCTAATGATCTGTATTCTGCTTCGGTGGAGGACCGAGCAACCGTTGGTTGCTTCTTAGCACTCCAGCTAATGAGATTTGACCCTAGAAATATGCAATAACCACTAGTAGATCTCTATCAAATATACATCCAGCCCAATCAGCGTCAGAGTAAGCACTGAGATAGATAACACCTTTCTTGAACCACAAACCATGAATCACTGTGCCTTTGAGAAACCGGAGAATTCTTTTGGTTACTTGGAGATGTGGTTCTCGTGGAGCATGCATAAATTGACAGACTTGATTTATAGCAAAAGATAAATCAGGTCGTGTCCAAGTTAAGTATTTCAGTGCACCAACAATAAACCTGTACTCTTTGGGATCAAGTAACAAGGGCTTGTGTGATCAAGTTTGAGAGAGCCAATATGAGTGAGACATGGTTTAGCACCTTCCATATGTGTCTTTGAAGCAAGTATAGAAGGTACTTGCTTTGATGTAAGAAGAGACCTACATAAGATCTTTGAACCTCAAGACCCAAGAAATAATGCAAGGGTCCCAAATCTTTCACAGGAAAGATAGCACCTAATTTCTAAATAAATTGTTGACAAGCTGCAGAATTAGGGCATGTGACAAGTATGTCATCGACATACACCAAGACAATAACAAGAACAGATTCTTTGATTACAAATAGAGAAGCATCATATTGTAATTGATGAAACCCCATAGACTTGAGAACTGCAAATAATTTGTCAAACCAAGCCCGATGGGCTTGTTTCAAGCCATACAAGGATTTTCGAAGTTTGCAGACATGATTGGGGTAGTTAGGATCACTGAAACCAGGTGGTTGGTGCATATAGACATCTTCGTGAAGATCCCCATGCAGAAATGCATTATTGATGTTCAATTGGTTGAGAAACCAATCGTACTGAACTACTAAAGAAATAAGAATTTGAATTGGTACTGGCTTTACTACAAGACTAAATGTTTCTTTATAATCTAAACCAGCTTGCTGATAAAAGCCTTTGGCCACAAGCCGGGCTTTATATCTATCAATAGTCTCATTTGGATTCTTCTTAACTCGAAAAACTCATTTACATCAAACTATGTTTTGATGAGGTCTAAAAGGGACTAAAGACCAAGTATCTGTTGATTGTAGGGCATTGTACTTATCCTTCATAGCAGATCTCCAATGAGCATGTTTGGAAGCTTGAAGATAAGTATTGGGGATAAAATCAACAGATGCAGGTAAAAGATGCTTGGTAGCTGAGTAGGCTTTTAGTTTAAAGATTCCAGCCTTGGATCTAGTGATCATAGGATGTATATTGGGAGTTGCAGGTAAGAGACTGTAGGAGGTGCAAGGGAAGAATGAGCATCCAAAGTGACAGATTATGAACCTGAAGATGTTGGAGAAAGATGTTGTGCAGCAGGTACATTGCTGGTGGTAGGATGGGCAACAAGTGCTTGAGGAGAAATGGGTATAGTAAAGTGTAAATTAACATTGGGATTCACTGTTGAATAACCATTAGTAGAACTTGGTGTAGCAATTGATATAGAATGAAATGGAAAATTGGTTTCATCAAATAGCACATGCTTTGATATGTACAGTCTTTGGGTAACTGGATCAAGACAACGATACCCCTTGTGTTGAAGATTATACCCTAAAAAGACATAATGTTTACTTTTGATGTCCAACTCGGATGAAGTGTATGGCTTGAACCAAGGAAAGCATCCACAACCAAAAGTTTTAAGTTGAGAATAATTTGGAGGGGGTACCAAAAAGAAGTTCCCAAGGGGATTACAGTAACCCACCAAGAGGAAGCCGATTAATCAAATAAGCTACAATGGAAAATGCTTCAACCCAGAAAACATGAGGAACTTTAGATGCAACCAATAGTGTTCGTGCAATTTCAACCAAGTGATGATGCTTCATTTCAACATATCCATTTTGCTACGGAGTGTGAGAGCAGCTAAATTATTGGAAAATACCATGAAGTTTAAGAAAATTATGAAATTGATGACTAGTAAACTCACCCCCCCTGAATCATATCGAACAACCTTGATTTTATTGCCAAGAGTATTTTCTATATAGGACTTGTACTCCATAAATGTTGAAAATACAAAAGACTTAGACTTTAAGGGAAAATACTAGCTATAATTACTGTAATCATCAACAATAAGCAAATAATACCTATAACCATTCACTAAAACAACAGGAGATGGTCCCCAAACATCACAATGCAACAATTCAAGACTTCTAGTAGACACAGATCTAGGAACACCAAATGGAAGCTTGTGATTCTTTGCTAGAGCATAATCATTGCAGAAGAAGTCCAGAGAGGATTTGTCTTGTACAACAACTTTATTTGTTGACAAAACTTTACGAAATATAACAGAAAAGGGATGACCAAGCTGACTGTGCCAGATTTTGACATTGGTAGAAGTACTTACTAGTGCAGCATGTGTGGATGGAGTAGCTTTGTAGGGAGTAGGTGAACTTTGAAAAGGAAAGAAAGCATCTTTAACTTGTCTCCGTAAAAGTGTCATCCCCGTAAAATGATCATTGACAAATGATCCATGAATATCAAGAGTTAATAAATAATCATTATCTTTGATAAATTGATAGGCAGAAAGTAGACTATGCTGCATTTGAGGCACATGAAGAACATTTTGCAATTTAAAAGAATGAGCAGGAGTATGCAAAACAAATGTGCCAACATGATTTATAGACATACCTTTACTTTCTCCAATGTAAACCTTGTATTCACTATTGTAGGGAGTAGAAGATTGGATATTGGAGATATCATTGGTGATGTGAGAGGTAGCACCCGAGTCAATGAGCCAAGAATGGGAACGCTTAGTAGTGTAATGAGCACACATGGCAACAAGTTTAGCTAGATGAACCTTACCTGAGATCTTTGCATTCATTCGATCAAAACAGTCAATAGCTTCATGACTGTAAGATCCACAAATTTGACACGGAGATTTGTAACCAGAAGAAGATGTGGTATGATTGAATCTAGCATTATGAGTGCCATGATTGTAACCAGAGTTATGATTGCCACGATTTGAACCCCGAAAACCACGATTATGTCTTCCTCGGTTAGAATTATACTGGAAAGAATTCTGAAGTGGCTGAGCTCCATGATTCTAAGCAGCAAGAGCTTATGGTGGTGTAGGAATGAGTGGCGGTTGAGCATGTACAGAGAACGCCTGAAAAGGCTCATATGAGGAAGTATTTTTGCGATGCGACATGTATAGTTCTTTAGTAAGCAACAAGCCATGTAATTCATCCAAGGAAGTGGACAAAAGGCGAAGTAGTATGGAATCAATGAATGATTCAAATTCATCAGGAAGACCAGCAAGAGGTGTTGCAATGAGATCGCAATCAGTGATAGAGGCTCCAACAACAGTAAGGGAATCAAATATCTCCTTGATTTGCTGAAGATAATCAGACATTGATTGAACTTTTCTGAATGTTTTGAAGTCGGGACTGCAATTGATGAATATGGGCATTCGAGACACCACCAAATCGTTGCTCAAGTTTGAGCTAGAGATCATGAGCAGATGAGACATCAACAGTGAATGAAATAACTTCCTCAGAGAGAGTCGAGTTGAACCAGATGAGCAGATTTTGATCCTTCTCATACCAGTGCTCAAAGGCTGGATTTAGCGAGCTATCAAGAAGAAGAAATGGCGATGGGCAGGGCTTAGTTCCATTAACAATACAAGAAGCTTGTAACAACGAAGAATCGATGTAAATAACGTTTGCCATGGCAGGTAATTGGACCGTCGGAGTTTGATCGGAACCATATTGCCAATATTCTGGATTGTGAGAGAAGTACGATTGAGAAAGATTAGGATTGGAAGAAAAAAAATCAGGGTTTGGATGAGGCACCGACTCAATCGGAGAAGAAGAATCAGACGGAGACGCCATCAAGATTCAAGATTAACAAGTTGAAAATCCGA